AAGCTCGTAGTTGAGTTGTTTGCGATCCCAAGGATCACATGGTCGCTCACGATTGACAGCACGGGCACCCGCAGAGGGTCTAGGAGGGCGAGAAAGACCGGCACAAGACATTTAGAGAGGTGGACTTGGTTGAGGAATTTCAGCGAACACCTGGCGTGCACCACAAAAAGGGGTCAAGTTTGTGGACGCCAGGTGTTGCACCATGTGGTGCACGCCAGGTGTTCATCGGCATTCATGGACTTGATGAGCTGTAGGGGTCAAGTTTGTCTAGAATGAGGCCTGTGATTTATCTTTTCAGGAGTTGAAGACGAGATTAACTACAGCTCCAGTGTTGGTGATACCTGAGCGTGGCTTGGGTTATGTGATCTATTGTGATGCTTCACGTGACGGGTTGGGATATGTGTTGATGCAGGATGGTAGAGTAGTGGCTTATGGGTCTCGACAGTTGAAGACTCACGAGCTTAACTACCCTACTCATGATCTAGAGTTAGCGGCAGTTCTGTTTGCCTTGAAGTGTTGGAGACACTACTTGTATGGTGGGAGATTCGAGGTATTTTCAGATCACAAAAGTCTCAAGTACATTTTCTCCCAAAAGGACTTGAACAACAGACAGAGACGATGGGTTGAGTACTTGGAAGATTACAACTTTGATTTGCAGTATCATCCGGGCAAGGCAAATGTTGTAGCTGATGCCTTAAGCCAAAAATCTCGTGGAACTTTGGCCAGTTTAGTTATTCGGAAGTGGAAGATGCTTGAAGATCTGGCAGAGATAGGATTACAGTGTTGTGATGATGATAGTTGTAGTGAGTCGGCATTCTTATTTAGTCTTGTGGCTCAGCCTACTCTTATTGTACGAGTGATTGAGTCACAGAGACAGGACCCGGACCTAGATGCCATCCACGCTTTGATCTCTAGTGGTGAGACAGTGAAAGATTGGGCCTTGTATGCAGATGGGGGTCTACGGTTCAGGGGTTTGTTGGTGGTTCCCACAGTTTGTCGTGAGGACGTCCTACGGGAGTTTCACACTTCCCGCTTTGCAGTTCATCCAGGTGGTACCAAGATGTATTACAATTTAAGACGTCAGTATTGGTGGAACGGGATAAAGAAAGATGTTGCACAGTTTGTGGCTAGATGCCTTACTTGTCAGCAGGTGAAGGCCGAGCATCAGAGGCCAGTTGGTTTGTTGCAACCATTACCTGTAGCGCAATGGAAATAGGAGCATATTGCTATGGATTTTGTGACAGGTTTTCCAAGGTTAAGAAGGGGCAATGAGGCTGTATGGGTCATCATTGACAGATTGACCAAGACGGCTCACTTTTTGCCTATTAAGGCAACAGATGATGCAGAAAAGCTTGGTGTTCTTTATGTGAAGGAGATTGTAAGGTTACATGGAGTTTCAGTAACCATTGTTTCAGATAGGGATGCCAAGTTCACTTCGAAGTTTTGGGAAGGACTTCAAATAGCGTTTGGTTCAGCGTTGCATCTTAGTACGGCATTCCATCCACACACAGACGGTCAGTCAGAGCGTACTATCCAGATTTTGGAGGATATGCTTCGGGCATGTGTACTTGATTTGGGAGGTAGTTGGGAGGATCACCTTCCATTTATTGAATTTGCCTACAACAACAGTTATCAGACGAACATCCAGATGGCTCCATTTGAGGCGTTGTATGGTAGACCTTGTAGGTCTCCTGTTTGTTGGATTGAGGTTGGTGAGACAGCCGCCTTAGGACCCGACATTGTACTCGAGACTACTAAGAAGATTAAGTTGATAAGACAGAGGTTACTTACAGCTCAGAGCCGACAGAAGAGCTATGCGGATAAGCGGAGACGACCGTTATCCTTTGGGGTGGGAGACCATGTTTTTCTACGGGTTTCTCCACGGAAGGGATTGATGAGATTCGGGAAAAGTGGCAAGTTGTCGCCACGATTTATTGGATCGTTTGAGATTTTGGACCGAGTAGGAGAGGTTGCCTACAGGCTTGCTTTGCCACCATAGTTGGATAGGGTCCACAATGTTTTCCATGTATCGATGTTACGGAAGTACGAACCAGATCCATCTCACATTTTGAGTTAGGTAGATGTGGACATTGATGAGGATGTTTCCTACGAGGAAGGACCAGTTCAGATTTTTGACACACAACAGAAGGTGTTGAGGAACAAGACGATACCAATGGTGAAAGTCCTTTGGAGACACCACGGAGTCGAGGAGGCTACTTGGGAGCTTGAACAGGAGGTTCGCTCCAAGTATCCAGCGTTGTTTTCTTCCTCAGGTATGTCTTAATTTCGGGGACGAAATCTTTTAAAGTTAGGAAGAATGTAATGTTTTTAACTTCATATATATATATATATATATATGTATGTTAAAGTTAAATAAAATTTTAATTCACCTGTGGGGCCCACATGATATGTAAGCCAATATTATTACCTTTTTCTTCTTCTCTGCACATCACGTTCTCTCTCATTCTAGAAGCTCTCTGGATTTTTTTTTTCTTTTTATGGTTTCAACTTCAATCTTTGATTCCATCTTCATTACTTGCCGGATTTAGGTGTCGTTTGAGGCAAAACGACGAGTGTGACGAGTTCTACACGTTGATGCAAGCAATTTCCAGTTTTGAGCCTTCTTTGGAACTCGAAAATTTAAACCCATTTCTAGGGTTTTGCCTATTTTGAAGTAGGGGCATCTTAATCCACTCTAGTCTTGTTCTATTGTGAATTTTACCTCCATGTTGTATTAAATATGCTTAATTTAGAGTTAATTATATCTAAGATGGTATTAATGATGTCTAGAGGGTTTTTCACGATCTTGAATATGGTTGGTTCATGTGCAAATTATATTTAGTTGTTGATTTCCTATGTTTACTATGTGCTAGCATGCTGAAATTGATGTATGAGAGTATGCTTATTTAAATTGCGCCAAATTTCCCAATTCATGATGTTGAGCTCATATATATATATACATGCACATGCTTAAATGTATTTTGTTGTATCTTAATGTGTTAATAATTACTTGGGAGATGTTGAACATGTTGAATGTTTAATTTTATGATGGAAAATTTTAAATGCCATGACATTGAATGTATGGAACATATATACATGCACATACCATTGGGTTTGCATGAAATGGGAGAAATTGTTCTTGAAATAAATATGAGGAATTTCAGGGAAGTGTTTTTGATAAAATGGTTTTATGCGAAACCCGGTCGCTGCGGGGTTACCAACGGGCCGGAGGTTAATATAGCCTAGAGGGGACTAGGGAGTCGCCCTATCGTGGTTGAGCTAGCTGGGCCCCATAATGACGCCGCGGGGTTACCAAGGGTCAGGGACACTAGCCAATCCTCCTTTCGTGTCGCGGCGGGGTTACCAAAGGGCGGGCTGTATTAACGTTTGAAAGTGATGATTTTGAGAATGAAAATGGGGAGTGTCATTGACATGCATTGCATTTCATTTCATTGCATTGCATTGTTTATACTTGGAATTGACTTGTATGTTGTATTTGATCCCCTACGTTGTATGATCCCTATCTCCCATTGGCCTATGCTTTGCTTGAATTCACAAGGACACAAGATTTGTGTCTTAAGTGTCACCTACTGAGCATATAGCTCACCCTACTATTTATACATTTTTTTCAGGTCTTGGAAAAGAACCGGTGAACGACAACCCACCTCAAGCTTGAGCGATACTAGAAGCTCACTTTTGTGTCTTTTGTATATCTCCCATTATTTTTGCAAAGCACTAAAAGTGTGAAGGTGTATATGTATATTTTGCAAAACTTTGTTATGTAATGTAATTAAGGTATTTGATGATAATTTGGATGTGAATTTGATAACATGTAAACCTTATTGATGCATGGGGAGAGTAATACTAGTTTGAGGTATTATCGAGGTCATTTGATTGTGTATTATCATCTACTATTGCTATGAATTCGGAATTTGAGTCGTGACAGGTTAAAAATGCAATTATACAGGTTATGATAGGCCTATTTTTAAGGGAGGTTATGCCGAATTTTTTTGTTTAAAAGTATTAGTTTTGAGACGTTACAGGTAATCACGTTGGGGGCAGGTTTTTAGAACACAAAGCTATCCGACAAGGGTATTATTGGCCCACTATACAAAAGGATGCTATGGATTATGTGAAAAAATGTGATAAATGTCAACGGTTTACCAATGTTCTAAAATAACCACTAAAATAGGCGAGCCATTGGGCGAGTTAGGACTCGCCTAACATCTGGCACCCAGAGAACAGGCATCAGTTAATCCCTAGCAATAACTAAACTATATTTTCTTTGTTTGTTAATGCAAGAATAAAAGCTTTAGTGCTTTTTCTTTGCTGTCACCAGTAAATTGATGGAAGAAATTAGAACAACTTACTTTAGATGATAAGGTCATTACTTGATTTTAAATCCTTTTACACAAACATTATCACTTATCAAAGTGGGCGAATAGAGGTATGTTTCGTTAAAAGTACTATTCATTACTTGCTAACATGCACACCTTGTTCAAAAGTTATCTCAACTATAGGAAATTTGTGTATGTATGAATATTATAAAGTTCAGATGAAGATTTATATATATATGTGTGTGTGTGTGTTCGCCACGTAATGGACGGTGATACTTCATGCTCTACTTTTCCTCGACACTGATGAAGATTAGTCTACAACGATCCGAAATGACAACGTTTTCCTCTTGACATCGGTGTGGTGTCTGCCAAACAACCTGCGATGGCTAAGTCGGTTTACAGAAGAAAATAAATTAGGCAATTAATGAAGTGGAGTTCAAAATTGCCTGTACCTTATTGATTGATGGGAGTCTGTTTTTATAGTTAGCTGAGCTGAGTATTTGTTGCAATCTTTAAGAAGGTTTTGTCAATAATTTAAATTTTATATAATCAGATCAAACAACTTTTTGAATTTTATCACCTCATCACCTTATCATCTTATCCGTTTATTCAGCCTCTTTTGTTGATTTCCTCGTCCAACCACGTGTAGAAAAATGGCTCGATTATAAAAAATAAGTTTGGGTACCAATAATTATTCAGTGCGTGTAAGAGATTCCTTTTTGATCTGATCAATTAGGTTCAAGTCTATCTACAGCTGTCTTCAGCCTTTCACTGCGTTCATCAGTCGGTGTACACCATCTTTCCTAATTAAGCAGCAGGAAGGTGAAGGGATATGGATGTAAGTGAGCCTCAGCCTCAACCTCACGTAGTGATATTGCCTTTCCCTGCACAAGGACACATCAAACCCATGTTAATGCTTGCACAGCTGTTTTGCAATAATGCCAATTTCTATGTAACCTTTGTAAACACACATCACACCCACAATCTTATACACAAATTGATCAACAAAACAAATTTCAAGCGCCTCTTTCCTACACTCCGTTTTGAGGCCATCCCAGATGGACTTCCACCTCAACATCCACGCTCTGGTCCACAAGTATTAGACATATTCTTCACCATGGGATTTGAGTCCAAGGCCAAGTTCAAGGACGTATTAACGGGTCTACATCAACAAGAAGAATGGTCACCACCCACGTGTATAATAGCAGATGGAATCATGTCTTTCGCCATTGATGTTGCAGAAGACCTCCATATCCCGGTCATCACTTTTCGAACCTACAATGCTTCGTGCACCTGGCTTTACTTCCATATTCAAAACCTCATTCAACAAGGAGAAATTCCATTTCAAGGTGAGTCAAATCCCTAGCCCAAATTTTTTTCTTAGCCCCCATGTGAAATTGTTGGATCCCACACACACACAAGTATATATATATATATATATATATATATCTCATAATTAACACACACACACACAAGTATATATATATATCTCATAATTAACACCTGATAGAGTGAGTTATATCCAGTATTTTTTTTTTTTTTTTTTTTTTTTTTTTTTTTTTTTTTTTTTTTCTAAGAAGAAGAAATGGAAGCGTGTGAATTGCAATTATTTTTTCCCCTAGATTAAGATTAATGTTATTGCATAAAAGAATTATAATATTGCTATTTCTAAATTACATTTTTTTCTCCCACTTTACTTTTAGCTTGTATATATGTATAGAGATATATATACTCAGTCGAGGAGGAGAAATTCCATTCCATGGTGAGTGTAAGATATTGGTTTACATAGGCTATATTTTTCTTTGCTTACATGTGAACTTGTTAGAACATAGATCTTATATATATATACATGCAGCTATAACATCATCCATCAGCTTTCGCTCAACGAACGCCTCGTTCTTCAATGAATAACATACATATTAATATACCACAGTATACTATAAAATATAAAACAAGCTCAGGATGGGGCAAATAAATAATTTGGCTTTTCAATCCATTACCTTTCATTCACTTTGGAATCAATGCTCTCCCTTTTTACACAAACTCTCATCCCAAGATGCGAAAGGTAATGGTTATCCATATAAGCCAAACATTGTGTCATCTTCCATGTGAAATTGTCTCCACTTATATTTATTCAATGAACCGTGATTGGCCGCATAATAATTTTCCTTAAATCAATCATGGCTAATACTCTCTCTCCCCCAAGGCAGCATTTAATTCGGGACTGAAGGAGTTTCTTTCATGGCCATGTGACTTATTTAGTTATTTACATTACGTACAAATATCTAATAGCTATAAAAAAGATTAATGTTACTAAGAGGGGATCTCTTTAGTACACTAAAAGCTCTCCACTTCTAATTGTTGGATTAAGATAGTTTTGAAATATGTGTAAATATTATAAACTGCCGTGAAAGGAGATGATAGTTCATAAAAAATAAAAATAAAAAATAAAAAAAGGAACGGCTCGTCTCTCTCTTCCCGGTAAAAGCAAGAAAAAATAACAGAAGAAAGTGGGTAAGTGATGCAGAAAGAGGAGAGAATGAAACGAGCAATTCTTTCCCCTTTTTTTTTTTTTTTTTTTTTTTTTTTTTTTAAACAGCAGTTTTACGACTTTCACAAATAAATTTCAAATTTTTACTAATCCAACTGCTTGGAGAATTGGTCAGTGTACTAAAGACGACACCCTCTTAGTAGCATTACTCCTAGAACAAATATCCAAAGTGGATATTAATTGATCCTAGTTTACTCCTGCAATCCAACACATAACAAATACTCCATTGTATTCAGTCTAAAACTCTCTCTATCAGTATAACTCATTGATTAGGTTTTTGATTTTAGGAGATGATGACATGGATAGGCCTATTGCTTGCATTCCTGGGTTTGAGAGCCTCTTGCGACGTCGAGACCTACCAAGCATTTGTAGACTTGAAGACGCCCAAAATCCAATCCTACAATTCTACATCACCCAAACATCAGCCATGACTCGAGCCTCTGCCCTCATACTCAACACTTTTGATGAACTCGAATCACCCATCATCTCTAAACTTGGCTCTCTCTTTCCTAAAATCTACACCATTGGTCCTCTTCATGCCCTCTTCAAGTCTCGAACCACACATTACACAGAGTCAGATTCATCAAATGGTAGTCTGAGAGAACAAGACATGACCTGCTTGACTTGGCTCGATTCTCAGCCGTCCAAATCAGTAATATACGTTAGCTTTGGGAGTGTGGCCACGTTGACTCGTGACCAGTTATTAGAGTTTTGGTATGGCTTGGTTAACAGTGAAAAACCATTTTTGTGGGTAATAAGGGAAGGTTTGCTTTTGGGAGATGATACAGTGGTTGAGACTCCGGCAGAGCTTGAGGTGGGAACTACGGAAAGTGGGTGCATAGTGCGTTGGGCCCCACAAGAAGAGGTCCTGACCCATCGGGCTGTGGGTGGGTTTTTGACCCACAGTGGGTGGAACTCAACGTTGGAAAGTATTTTGGCGGGTATTCCAATGATTTGTTGGCCACAGTTAGCGGACCAACAGGTGAATAGTAGGTGTGTGAGTGAGTTGTGGAAGGTTGGGCTTGATATGAAGGACTTTTGTGATAGATCAACGGTTGAGAAAATGGTAAGAAATCTAATGGAGGGTAAGAGAGAGGAGATCATGAAATCAATAGCTGGGAATTCGAAAATGGCTTGTGACAGTGTCAAGGAAGGTGGGTCCTCTTATTGCAACTTAGAGAAGTTAATTGAAGACATTCGATCAATGAGGTCAACAACTAAGAATATTGCTCATGTTGGAAATGAGTGAAGAAAATTGAAGTATTGAAGGAAGGCAGTTTCAGGAGTCTGGCTTGCAATCTTTCAGAAATTGTCTTTGGCGGCATGTTGCTACACATGGCCTTTAGTTTTGCTGATTAAGTTAGAGATGATATGTTAGTCTGCTTTTGAATGTAGTTTTGGCTCTTCATGTTTGTTTTCTGGTTTTTTTTTGTTGTTTTTTAGTGTTCTTGTTTGGCCTGCCATGACCTGTTGGATTTGTCCTCCTACTAGCTAGCTTGTTTTGCTTTGGAGCCATCTTTGAAAGAAAAAATCTTATTGATCAAAAAAGAAAAAAAAAAAATTGTTTATGCCTCGTATTTAGCCGCGTGTGTTTGTGTGTTTTCTTTTCTCGAACAGAAGACTAAAATACCACTGGACAAAATTGTGTCTTGCTACATTGATGATATCAAAAACACCAATATATAAAGACAATAAAATGAATATTACTTAGTTTTGCTTCTACGTACTATAGTAGAATTCTAAGAAGGTTGAACTTGAGACATATTTAACTTATAATATTTCTCAAGGTGGATGCTTTAAGGCTCAAAATGCACTGATATATATCAATCCACAATGGATCTCACCAGTAGAGCTTAACTAAACAAAGCATGAATATGACATGATTATATGATGGTTCTAAGTGCTAACCAAAGCGATACAAATTAAGAAACATAAGGAAACTATTACTAATTAATTAGCTAGTATACCGTCCAAATGAGTTTCATGAAATGAAATTAGTGTTATCAGATCACTATTTTCTGCAAAGTTCAGATTATCAAAAACACTTGCCTTTTAAGAGATTGTGAAAATTGAACTTGAACAGGTTATAAACTAAAGTCCGACTTTCGCGATAAAGAACCGTTAGAATTAATTCTTGAAAAATCACTAGTCTATTCTCATGTATTTGACATATGAATGATTCGTGAAGGAAAATGGATCATATAGAAGCTTTAAAGTTAGGTTAGTGAGAGTTTGTGGAAGTCCAAAAGTCATAGTGGTTTTAATGATTAATACATGAGAAAGCGAGGGCTTCGAAGTTGCGATGAGAATGGATTACAGAATTAAATTTGGGTTTTTAGAAAACTCAAGGGGTGTGTTTGGATTGTTATAATAATACAATGAAGTGTCTTTTTGAATTATCATTCTCAGCCAAATGTGGTTCAAATAGTGAGCGCCGGAAAAAATTATTTTAAACAAAACGGTAGCGTTTAATTCTACTTGCCGGGAGAATTTGGGATGCAACAATTGGTACTATTATTTCTGACAGCCCCATATTGAGTCGGAAAAGAGGTATTATTAGTGACCAAAATTAGGGCGTCGCAAATATTGAACTATGCCATCTTTGAAAATTCATTAATAGCCAAGGTTAGCATAAAGCTCTCAAATTAATAATGAGCTAATTAAGAAGTTAAGCATGTTAATAACAGTTTACTTATATATGTTTAGATGGGACCATTTTTTAAGCTACTATAATTGACTCCCCCCTCAAAAAATAAATTTAAACAACTATTATATTAAACTGAAAAGAACAGATATTATAATTAATCGTAATCAAAATGTTCAAAAAAGTATGATTTGGAATGTGTTGCGCCTCCTCTTTTATAAGCAGCTTCTCTTCTGCTCTTTTCACTTGTAGTCGATGTGGGACTAAACAAACCACCCACAACACCACCACTAACAGTTCTTTGATTTAACATTGCAGCTTTCACTAAATCTCAGCAACAAGAAAGAATGTTTCAGTTAGGGAAAAAAAAACCCTTTAAATAACAGTATATAAAGAGTGATAAATTAGATTTTTTTTTTTTTTTTTTTTTTTTTTTTTTTTTTTTTGTGAATTTTAGAGATTCATACACACTCGTAGTATTGCCCTTCAATTTATGAAGATATGTTGGCTAGCTATGAAGCAGTGATCTATATGTATGTCATTAGTCTTCTTCTCTGCTTACTGTTATTGATCAACAGATTATATTATATACTCGTACATGACTAAAATGGAACAAAGTCTTTAGTTTTTGACCACCCCTTTCTTTTTCTCACCTTCTTTCTGATGGTTGCTTGGACAAATTTACAATTGGTTGGATTGAATTAGGGCTTTATGTGACCTCGTGTACCGAAATTGCACTACTGGAGATTAAAGGGATGACTCTGATGTTGGGGAGATGCATAAACAGGTTATACCAAAAGTGAAGGAGACTTGAGCTTCATTTAGATTGAATGATTTGGAGAGATTTGCAGAGAAAAGAAAAGAAACGATAGTAAGAATTGTGTAAAGATTTGGAAGGATAGCTATCCTTGCAAATTCCTCGTATGCTATCTTCAAAAAAATGAAAAGATTTGGAGAGAAAGGACATTAAGTAATATTTTCATAATTTCAAAACTACCATCAACAATTAATTTAGGAAAATTAGGCTATCTTAATTAGTTTTATTAATATGACCTCTTTCATTTAATTTTCTTACTTTCTTTTTCCTTTCAAACAATTTGAAAGGGTAGGTTAGACTTTTAGTGAATATCTACTCGAATTATTGAATATTGACAAGGTTGGAAGACTTGTACTATTATCTTGGAAGGCAATTTCATCGAATTGACAAGCTAAACATGTAGTCCGTTCTCTTCATGAGTCCAAAAATTGTATTTGTCACCTCTTTAGATCAAAATAATAATAAAACCTATCTAATTTCTCTTATTAACCCTAAAAAGTGTTTCTAAATGAAATGGTTGAATAATTAAAACATGATATAAATATAAATATTGACTAATCTGGCCAAATAATTGAAATAAACTTTGGCCTCTCCCCCTTAAAAAATTAATTTAATATCGTGTGGGCTAGTGGCCCACATATCAGATATTAAACTAATAAGAACAGATATTATATTTGATCTTAGCCAAAAGGCCGAGAAAGGTATGATTTGTAACGTGTTGGGTCTCTTTTTTTTATAAACAACTTATCTCTTGCTCTTTTTACTTATTGTCAACGTGGGACTGAACAAACCACCCACAAGTATACATCTTTTTATATTCGTCTCTGTCGTAACTTTCCTCTCATCTCATTTTGCATTGCAGCTTTGACTAATCTCAAGAAGAAGAAAGAATGGTCCAGTAAGGGAAAAAAAAACCCTTAAAATAACAGTACAACAAGAGTGTTAAATTAGTTGGTTTTTGGTGATTTTGAGATTCATACACTTTGGTAGATTTGCATTCAAATTATGAAGCTATGCTGGCGAAGTGCTTATTGATCCAAACAATCAAATAATGATGTACATATAGTGTGTGTGTGTGTGTGATTAGTCTTCTTCTGTGCTCTCTGGTAATTCATATGGGAACAAGTAATCCATCATATTATCAGGAAATTGAAAATCCTATTGAAGCATGGATGTCAAAACTCAAAATGAAGCAAATTTTGATTCCCTTGTATATTAAAAAGTGCCTTAGAAGGAGATGCATAAACAGGTTATCCCAAAATATGAAGGGGAGATTGGATTATATACAAAGCCTTAGCAACAGTGCGGTCCTGGGTGGTTGATTAAAATAAAAATAAATTTAAAACTCAACTATAAGTTAGTTTCAGGTGGAGGGTGTAATTAGAAGTTAGAAGTTGTTATGGCTTCTGAAGTTGCAACAGAATTCTACTAATTTCTTGGGATCATTGCCCAACTTCGACAACCAAGCATTAAGATTTAACACTCAACTTTGACCTAGTTTTTGGTGGGCTCTCTAAGGATGCGTTTTCACACTTGAGAGTCCATTTATACTCTCGGCCTAGATCTTCTAGGCTAGTAGTGATTTGGTTTTCAACACCTTATATAGGCTTATATCAATTTTCAAATTTATTTATTTATTTTTTTTTTTGGGCCAAATGTGATGTATTTGAAAAGTATGTAATGTGTTAAAAATCATATATAATGCCGTGAAAAGTATACAATACCACTACATCAAGTGTAATTACAGAGAGCTTTTCATACAATAAGCAAATATGTAATTACAGAGGGTTTTTCATACAATAAGCATATATTTAAAAGACATGTCAAAAATTCTTAAAAATAATTACTTGACTATTTTTGTAATGATTAATGATAGGGAGACCGGAATCTAACGTATTTTTGTCCACCTCATCTACTTAAACAGTTTCTAAAAAATAATTGTTTAACACGTGATAAGAATTACCAACCACGTCAAATTCGATATTAATTCTGGGATTCCTTTTTGGTTCCCCTACAATTACTCTTAAAAAAAAATAATAATAATAAAAAAAAAATAAAAGGTGCATATAACTCCTTGTATTATTCATTTTTTGAGCAATTTGTCCCCTATAGAATGGATTTGTTGAAAAAGAGTTGTTGGTGACTTCAGTTTTTTAAAAAAAAAAAAAAAAAAATTCAAAAGTGCCCGTTTTGTGTGACAAAAATGTCCTTACTAATTCTGTATATATTTTAACATTGAATGTGTTTATTTGGATGTGCTTCAAAACCTGTTCAAGGAAAACTCTCTATGTGTCGCCGTAGTCAATCTCTCTTAAAAATATATATATTCTCTCTCTGAAATATCTCGCCACCGATATTCTCTTTATAATTTTTTTTTTCTCTCTAAAATATCTTTTTTGGTCGTCGATATTACCTTTCTTTCTATTTTTTTTCTCCCTCTAAAATTTTTTTGTCACTGCCAATATTATCTCCTCTCTAAATGATAGTTGCACTATTTTTTCTGGTAAATGAATGAGCCTCCTTAATTATATATTTATATATGTAATAATAATAATAATAATTAAATGAACAAATTTTCTTGGACACAAATTGTTATCAGATGAACTTAGAATTTCTATCAAAATTAAAATTTTGATCTAATTACTCTTCAGCTGGACACAAACTCAAGCAACACAATTTTTTTTTTAAAATTGTTTATTTTATTAATGTCAATATTTTTATCATATCTTGTTCTTTATAAGCACAAGAATTTAACATCACGTGAGCCAAACTTTTTGAGTTTACCATTAATCTTCTTCTTTTTTTCCCCCTAGTTGGTTTACCATTATTTTTTTTTGTTGGTCCTAGTAAGTACCAATTGGTATTTGCCTTTTTAAAGTCAAAACCTGGTGTTAGAGAGCTGTCAGTGGCTTACATTATCTCTCAGGGGTAGTATAGTCTTTTACCATCTTGTGACACAATTACACAATGGTTTAAGATAGTACGTTGCAGCTATTTAGCTTGTTAAGCCTATTTTCTATATTAACTGAGGTTCAGCATTTGAAAATTAGCTATAGGGATTTTTAGGGGTACTATGGTCATTTCACGGTTGTATTATATATACATGTGTTCAAATAGTTACATTACATTAAACATGTAATACCCCTAATTTTTAGAGGCTTATTTAAGTGTTTTAATTGCATTTTTACAATATATTATGTTTTATTACAATAAATATTTAGTATTATAATTAGTTTATTTTATGTTTTGTTAGACGTATGTTAGGACTAGGGTTATATGTGTTTGGCTGTATTTTTTAAAGGGCATGCCATAGTCTTTTGACTCAAATTGAAAGTAACCAACCTTATCCGTTTGACCGAAAAAGGAAATCAGTCCTTATAAAAACTCAGGTGATTGTTAAGAAAGCAATGATTACCACTTTCCTTTTTGGGTTCTTCAATGCCTCAATGAAGAGGACTTCTGTAACAAAGAATGGAACAAATGAAGGGAGCAAAGGATACTGCTCAAGCGTTCACCAATTTAATAAAAATAAACTTACAAAATAAAATATGGCGGGGATAGAGCCAAACGTCCAACTTTTATTCCATAAGTACAATTCCAATACAAGTTTACAAGTATAGGAATTATTGATACACTAGAATTCTACTACTAAGGAAAGAACATAATAAGAAAAATACATGTAAAGGAATGAAAATACAAGAAAAAGACTACATTGTAAGAAAATGCATTGTGTTGGTTGGGGACCTCTTGCATATTCTCCTCTGGAGATATTTATAGTTGTATCTCCCGATCAATTAGCAATAGTTTATCCAACATTTGGAACTTCTATTTTGAATTCAAACACTTTGTTTGAAAATAAATATAACCAAACTTGTCCGATGTTGTATTATCTTCATCTTTAAACATGTGCTATTGTGCCAATTATCAAGTTTGCATATGAGACCAATTTACTTGATGATGTGGCAGATCAACCTTTATATTTTCTCACGTGACTAAATTAGAAAAGAATGCAAACACTTTCACAATGTTTTACCCGTTAATCAACTACTGCCATTTGGTTGAATTAAGATCTTCCTCCTGCTAACAACATATGGCCAGAATTAAAATTTTATTTTAGGGTGCAAAATTAGAAAGATATTACCATACAAGCAGACCAACAAAGATAAGAACAAAATAATGCACATATGGGTAAAAATGAGTTTCCAGCAGCGTCTCCTTCAACACAGTGGTTCCTCTCAAACCCACCTAATGGTGCTGTTAACCAAATCACCCCCAAACTTAATTTGTAGTATCTGGCAAAATCAATAAACTATGTTCTAAATCAATTTAAACATTAAGAAATAAGTATGAACCATCAAATAGACATCATACACCTCTGGAATGTTGCTGGCGCATTACATAATCCGAAAGGCATCCGTCTATATGCAAACGTACTGAATGGACAAGTAAAAGTAGTTTTCTCTTAATCCTTAAGATCAATGGCCACCTGATTATAACCGGAATATCCGTTTAAAAAGCAATAATAGCTCTGGTCATCCAATCGCTCTAGAATCTAATCAATGAATGGAAGTGGAAAATGATCTTTTCTAGTAGTGGAGTTGAGTTTCCGGTAATCAATGCACACACGCCATCCAATGGTGGTGGTGGAACTAATTCTCCCTCAAAATTCTCAACTAATGTAATACCTGTCTTTTTGGTACTACCTAAGTAGGACTCACCCACTTGCTATCTGAGATGGGGTAGATTATTCCCGCATTTAGTAACTTCACAACTTCCTTCAAAACTACCTCCTTCATATTAGGATTCAATCTTCATTGGAGTTCCCGAGATGTTCAGGAATCCTCCTCCAAATGAATCTGATGCATGCAAATTGTGGGGCTAATTCATTTCAAATCAGCCACACTCTACCCAATAGCCTCTTTATTTTGCTCAAGAACTTTTAAGAGACTATTTTCTTGGGAATTTGTAAGATTGGAAGCAATGATCACCGAGTGTCATTTAAACCCAAGAAAGCATACTTAAGCTTTTCCAGTAGTGGCTTAAGCTCAAGCTTAGGTAGAGACTCTAAAGAAGGAATATGCGGAGTACTAGAAAGTGGTGGGAGAGACTCCAACCTAGATTTCCATGGATGAAAATCTGTGATAGGAGTGGGATTGAGCAAAGAATTCACTTCAGCTATTAAAAAATTGATATCAAACTCTTCATAATTAAAGTGATTCAGACAAGTTTCTAAAGGATCCTTGGATAAAATAGTTGGGAATGATTCCTCAACCAATTCATCAATAACATCAAGGAAGAAGCATTCACTATCATCGTGGGAATGATGAATAGCATTGAAGATGTTTAACTTGACTTTCATAGTCCCAAAAGATAAATCCATGGCTCTAATCCTACAGTTAATGCAAGCATTTGCAGTGGCTAGAAAAGGTCGCCCAAGAATGACTGGAATATACTTTGGAATCGTGGACCAGTTCTGTATCAAGAACTAGAAAATCGACCGGAAAATAGAACTTATCCACTTTTATGAGTACATCTTCAATAATACCTCATGGTTGTCTGATAGAATGGTCAGCAAGCTATAGAACAACCGACATAGGTTTTAACTCTCCAAAACCTAACTTCTCATTCACCGAGTAAGGAATAAGATTAACACTTACTCCAAGATCAAGAAGTGCTCACTCTATCACATTGTTTCCAATGATGCA